ATGGAATATTTCTGTATCAACGTCTTTACTGCAAATGATTAAGGCTTTGTTATATTACAGTAACAATAATAATTATCAATACTCTGTGCTGAAATGTTTCTATCACAGCAAATGGATTGGTATAAGACATTGAATTTATTAGCAGATGGACATTAGGTATAACATAAAACCCAATCTCATATGGCATACAATTTACATTTTCCCCAATTTGGTAAATATCTGAACCAAAATTTCAGTTATGGCAATACTACTAAAACAACAGTTTAGGTACAAACAGTATTAAGACTAGGCTATGTGATTACTCACAGGTGTTTCCTGAATCTCCAATTTTTTATCATTCTACACTGGAGTATTAATGGGAAGTTGCAGAAAAAAATAGTTCGTATTATTCTGTTTTCTCAACCAAACTAATGTAGGAACTCTAACTTTATTTAGTGTAGACAAACAACTTGGCAAGCTCAGCCCAAGTAAATACTAATAACCAGTAAAAATATTTAAATGGAAAAGTAAGAGAGGCACATAAAAAACTTATTAAGCACCATTTCACCTACCACTTAGCAATTTCATGAGTATTTCATCTCTGTAATGCATTCTCCCTTAAGTTATCCCAAGGAATGGATCTTTCGTGGTTGTGGCCAAACTGAACTATTCATTTTTCTTAGGAAATTGCTTCTACATTATGCTTCCTTTAACTAACACAAGATGCTGTAGCACACCAGAAAATATCTGAGAGTCAATAACAATATTTAAGGAAGTTGTCAAATATCATAAAAATCCTGTCTGAATTCCTTTCTTATGAAACCTGACTTTCTTAAGGTTTCTTTAAAGTGGATTTCTTCTATTTTTATTTTTATAGTTTTAGTGCTAAATAGGTTACAGGGCAATCAGTAGGCTCTCAGTTAAGTGTTTGCTGATGGAAATAAATGTTAAAGAATTTTGTCATCCTTTACATGTAAACATCTACACTGGGCCAGTTCCCCTAAGCTGTTGGAGATTTCTTTCTTTATTTCTATATATAAAAATTTATTGAACATTCACTGCTACGCAAGAATTGGGCAAGAGTTTCATGTAATGTAATCTTAGTTCTTCACAACACACCTCTCTGTTAATTTTTTAAAATTTTATATTGATTGATTGTTGAGGAAACTAAGGCACATGATGGTTGTGTATCATGCAAAAAAGTCTGGTTAAGATATGGAAAAAAAATTTAAACCTAGGTCTTACTAACCCAAAAGCATTTTCTTGCTTTATCACATATCTATCCATTCCCTCGGCATCCATCCCTCTATTCATATCATTTTTGGATGCATTTCAAACTGAGTTACAGATACCTGTACACTTTCCTCTAAATATTTCCACATGTATATCATTAACTAGAGCTCAGTATTCATTCAGGTATTTTTTCTGAGGTGAAATGTACATAAAATAAAATATGCAAATCTTATGTTTACCATTCTATGACATGAGTTTTGAGAAAGTACATATACCCATGAAATTCAAGTCCCTATGAAGACAGAATCTGACCATCCCCCAGGAAGTCTCCTCATGCCCCTTCCTGGTCGGTCAATCCCTGTCCTTTGCCCTCAGAGGCAACCACTGCTCAGATTTTTTCCTACCACAGATTAGTTTGGCCTGTTCTAGAATTTCATATAAATGGAATTTCTGTGTACTCTTTTGTGTAAGGCTTCTTTCAGCATAAAGTTTTTTAGATTCATCTAAGATGTTGTGTGTATATCAGCAGTTTATTCCTTTTTATTGCTGAATAGTACTTCATTGTAGGAATATACCACAGGTTTGTGTTAGCCATTCTATTTTGGACACTTGGACTGTTGCCCATTATCAGCTACTCCAAATCTTTGGCTATTACAATGGTATCCTACTAATTTTCTTATTAGCTTCGTATATCCCCCATAATATATCATCATCTGGTTGAGAGAGAAGCAGCAGCTTTCAATCAAAGTAGCTCATTTACTTTTTCTCCTGACCGATGTAAAAAAAAAGTGCACCTTGCTTATCATAAATGATCTATTATGGAAATGCTCTGCAGTGTTGGTAATGTTCTGTTCTATGCTAGTCGTGTTACACAGGTGGCATAAGCAGTGAACATTCACCAAGTTGTACACTACTGACTTGTACATTTTTCAGTAGGTATATTATGCTTAAAGTTTGTTGAAAAAGTTGCATAAACATTTTCCTAATGGCTTATAAGAGATACTTGACACTTTAGTTTCTATCTTAACCCTCAGCCCTTGGTCTTTTCTATCAAGTGTTTAGTAACATATTAATTCTTAATGCTAGGAAGTTCTTTTTAAAAGCAACCGCCAAATCTCTTTAGTAATCCAAACAATTTACCCCTTAATTTTTTGATATGGTAAATTCATGTTTCTATACATTATTCTTTCCCCTCAAAATTGAAGTACAGCTACCCACTGCTTACTTCAGTTTTCATACTTTAAAAATACTTCATAAACTGACCTTACTTTAGATATGAGATTTCAAGAACTGTTTTATTATATAGACAAAAAATCAATCATAATATTTTCATATCCCATTTATATGAGAGGAGATAGTAGATAATATTCTGTATATAACTCTTCAAACCTCTCTTTGTATGCAGAAGCACTCTGTATATTAGCATAAAACTAAAATAAATTACATGAATTTAACCTGTTAATTGAAAAGTATCCATCCTAAAGCTTGTATTAGAATTATCAAAACTAAAGATTCTATAGTCTCTGAAACAATGTAATATTTCATGTTGTTTCAGATTCACTGACTATGGGAACCAATTTTAATCCAAAAGTCTTAAAAAGAGATAACAAAGGGGCACGTATTATTTTGTCTGAATGCCTCATTGTTTCCAACCACGTGTCCTTGTGGCTACCCCACACCTTCTTGCCAACGGGGTGGGCACACAAGGAAGCCAAGCCTTGCTCTCCTCAAAATATTCAGGTGAGACTAGCAGGAAGATGGACAGTCACTACTGCTGTGCTCAGTTGTGGGAAGATGTTTCTCTGGTTACTCCCTACCATGTAGGAGAAGCTAGTTTGTAGGGAAATAAAGCAGGTATACTAAGAAATGCAGAGCAAAGGAGAAAGCTCCAGTGTTCACCTCCCTTGTTCTAGTAATTCCTAAGCCCCTACTACATTCCTGCTTTCTTGCTGCACTGTTAAATACGAGCACAAACTTCCCTTTGTGCTTCACCTTGTTTAAATCAGACGTCTGTGCTTTGTACCAAGAGCAGTCCCTAACAAAAAGATACACCTAAAGTAAAAAGATCTACGGTTGCTATACAAAATGTTTAACTGCTATAGAGCAGAATAATGGCACACTGAGCAGGATCAAATCACACATATGACACTGAAGGTACAATATTTTACTGAGAAAAATGCCAAGATTAGAAGCCTTCTTGGATATGTAGAATATTCCAGTGTGCATTATCATAAACAAAGGCACACATACTGTCATTTCTGAACTTTATTTCTTCTAATTTACCTAGTTTAAGCACATAATCATGAAGTTATGGCAATACTGACCTACAAAGGTCATCTAAGTCCATGATATCAGCAATCCTTTTATAACAGGAAAAGATAACATGTAAGAACTGAATTAATTTTCCTATGTAGCATAAGAACCGTTCACAGGATAAGGAACATCTTTCACTTTAAATTACTAATCTGAAAGCAGACTCAGGCCAACAATAATTGAAAATGATGTGAGGAGAATTTTGACATTGTAATAACACAGACAATGTTTAAAGCATAAAAGAACAATTAAATTCTGAAATTATGGCTCAGTTCATAAACTGACATTCTAAAAGACCATACTATTAGACCATAACACTAAACCTATTTTTGCAATAAATTTTATCCCTAGTTGGATATGTAAACCCTACTTGGATAAGGCATGAGGTTCAGAACATACTTTCTTAAACTAAATTCTACAAACATGTAGAGCAAAGAAAGTTAAAGCATTCACAAATGATTAATCTTGAAATCATCTGCACACAAATGATACAACTATCTTACTTGATCTTACTTGTAAAGCATCAACAGTTAATAAGATCTTATTGGATAACACAGCATTTTCTTTAGCTTGATTCTGCTGTCTTTATCTTTTTGTCTAGAATGATTAAGCAAAATATAGTCCAGTCATATCTTAGTTTTGTTTTTCATACATAGTATTTACTGCATGATGGTTTAACACACAATAGTCAATCATAATATTAATCAACTAAAGATGTACTAAGTTCCTTTTTACTATTTATGGCACATTACTCTCACAATTATTATTACCATCAAAGCAATTTTAAAAGAAGAAAATGACAAGAAATGAGAATAAATAAAAAAGGAAGATTTGCTGGGGACTGAGCTTGACAATATGGTAAAATGATTCTATAATTCAAACCAATGGAAGAACTAATGCTAAAGAACAGAGGCTATGACTACAGATAATAGTACAAAAATGTTCTTATAATAAAAGGACTGAGAAAAATAGAATACTATTCAATTTACAGTCATTCTTTAACAGTTATTTTAAAATTAACACTAATTAAGATTGAGATTTTAAAATTACAGACGCCTTATACACATCTGGGGAAAAAAAATCCAAGTAAAAACATACAGGGAGATATAATTTAGGTGTGGAGTTAGAGAATGGGAGACCATTTAGACAAGAATCATTCAACTCACATTTACTGAGTGACCCCTACGTGTCAGATCATGCACTAGGCAGTGAAGATGCAACAAGGAACAAACCAGGCAAAAATTCCTGACCTCATGATGCTTACGTTCTAACGGTTATTGAGAACAGTGATTAACAAAGAATTTTTTTTTTCCTAAAGGGGAAACTCAGGCCCAAAGCAAGGCTGTGTCTTCCCATTTCCCAAGGACACAGCCACTTAGCAGCAATGCAGTTTGTTCACACCACTTGGCCTATTCCAGAGACTATTCATGACAAAGTCAATGGGAGGGGAAAAAATTTTAATGCAAAATCTAAGTAACAAGGAAAACCTGTCTCAACGTCTACTTACTGGATTATAAAACGGTCACAAAATAGAAGGAATTTAACTGAAACGTACACTGCACCAAATTTTAGAAAATACTTATGCTAAAGACACTCTGCAGCAGACTAAAGATGCACTCAGTGAGCTAACAGATACTTTATCTTCTCTAATATCCGAAATTCCTGGAATACTTTTGTTCAGAGGCATATTTAAATGAACTAGCACAGTCACACACACAAAAAACTCTCAACATAACACCACTATCTCAATTTGTATTTTTCTGCCCAACTCCAAAGAAAGGCCACCAACTACATTAGCTAATAGGCTTAACTGCATTATCAGCCGCAGCAGGTAAAGGACGACGGCTAAGATGCTTAAGAGTGTGCACACAGAACGCAGTATGAAGGTAACACACTTCCAATACTCTGCTCGTCACAAGGAATCTACTACTAGCCATCTGTCTCACAAGTTTCTAGGCTATTAAGCAGTTTAAAATAATTAGTAATTTTATGTTCAATTGAAAATTAATGTTAGACTTGGAAAGCTGAAAACAGAAATGGTAAAAGAGAAAGCTGATAGATTTGAAAATTCATTCCTTGCCACATGATTATGAAAAAATTCTTTCAACTCTACAAATGCTTGCTGTCAGTTTCAGATCATAATCATAATGATTTCTTAACTTTATTAAAACAATTGTGAAGATAAAAATTAAAACAACTAGATACTTACAGCACTGGAAAGGAACTGAGCATACTTTACATGAGGTGAATCAATATCCTTTCTAGAGATTATCAGCGTTACTTATCATTCTGTAGAATAAAGACAAAATTCAGAGATACTTCTTAATTAAGCATTGAAGAAAATTTTTAATTATATAACTTAAGGATATTAACAGTTAACATCAGATAATCATGTTTTTAAAAATTATTTTGTAATTTTTTAAAGGAAACATTAGTTTGAAGAAAATATTGAAAATAGAAAAATACTTTTGATAGCTTTTAAAATTATTCGCTTGGAATAAGTAATGAAAATCATACCCCTGAAGTTTAATCTGTTCCCAGACACCACTCAGAGTAACAGATTTAAACATACAATGGAATATATATATACACACACACACTATAGTTACGCTCAAGATAACTTGTTCACAATTGTATCAGTGCATTTAGGTAGAATCCTATAAACAAACAAACCAAAAACACCACAGCACAATTACAGCTAATGGTCTTAACTGTAGTGTATATTCTGCAGTCAAGTTCCAAGTATATTACTGACTTTACTGCTAGCCAAATCTCAAGTGACTTAATTTCTCTAAGTCTCCATTTCTGTATTTATAAAGTAGGGATAATAGACAACTACTTCAAAAAGCTACAAGAATTTAGAACATTTTAAAAATGGTGGTGATGAAGCACTTCACGAACTATCAAGCAGCAGGGACTATTACCACCAATTTAAAAAAGACACCAATACCCATGTTGCATTTAGATCCCTGAACAGACTGTAAGTTAATAATGGATTGAGTTTAGTACTTTTATCTTCTGATTAGCATTTTACTGCTTTAGTCACCATTCAGACACTCTGACCCCTTTCAATTCAGACATAGATCTTAACAAATGAAATCTACTCTTCACAGTTTGGGAGCTGAAGATCATGTATTACTGACTGAACTTAGCAGCGGTTTCAAACCACAATCTATAGAGGCAACTACTTCCATTAACTCAAAGTTAATATCACAAATTAGATGAAAGTTTAAAATGTTGATGTCAAAAATTTTCACATTAAAATATACATTCAGCACTGAATTATATTAAGCAAGACCAAAGTGCCTAACAGTGACTAATGATACATGTGAAATGTACAGGGTAAAGTTAGAAACCTTTCACATTTGCATCCTATGAAAGTCTAATACAGGATATGTGGTGGGTTTTGATGTTACCCTCAACATGTTTCCTATGCTTTTCCATTCTAAAATAATTATACAACCTGTAATAAATACACATTTCCCTATTATTAATAGTAGGTCATTGGCAAACTCTACAGAACTATGTTATGAAATCTTAGAGACTAGTCAGCCTGTGGTCAGAGGCTGTGCCACCATCTCTGCCTCTGTAATGTACTGATTCCAGCCATCAGCATCGTTATACCATAGTCAGTTTAGATGTCACTTCCTTTGTGGTTTCATTATTACTTAGAGTAGTAATTGTACACTCTGTGGTGTGATTTCAGATTTTTTGATTCATTTAAGTTCAAAACACATCTACGGAGCAGCTGCTGTTTATATAATTTAGCATTCCCTGCTGTGGACTTCAGGGTTCTCTACTCTCATGGGATTGTTAATGTTCCATGACTCTACTCCATTCTCGTTGAATTACAGTACAAATACATTAAAGGACGTAGCACTTTCTCCCCATGTCAGTTTAGGACTGTTGTCCCAAACTGTGCCCACCACCAGCTTCTATGTCACCAGGGTGAACCACAGCGTCCCCCAGCTCCCTAGGAGGTCCTCCAAAACCAGCAGGCAGGTCTGGCCCAGGTTCCTATGAAATCATTGCCTCTTCCCTTGGTCCCAGCACACATGAGACTCTGTGTGCGCTACCCAAGAGAGTGAAGTCTCTACTTCCCCCAGTGCAGTGGAGCTCCTACAATTAAGCCCCGCTGGCCTTCAAAACCAGATGCTTTGAGGCCTCCTCCTCCCAGTGCTGGAATCCCAGGCTGGGGATCCTAATGTGGGGCCCAGAACTCTCACTCCTGCGGGAGGGCATCCACAATATACTTTTTCTCCAGCTTGTGGATCGCCCACCCAGGAGGTATGGGGGCCTGATTATATCACAAGCACGCTCCTCCTACTAACCCTTTATAGTTTCCTCTTTATGTTTCCACTTGAAGAAGATCCTTTTTTTCCCCCTACAAGGTTACCGTTCTTTCCCATCAATAGTTTTTAGTAGTCAGTTGTAGTTTTGTTGTGATCATGAGAGGAGGTGAGTTCTTGGTCCTACCAGCCCACCATCTTGCCCGGAAGTCCCAGCAGAGATGTTATTTTTGGACATCCCCAGCATCCATTAAACTGTACTTCAGAGAGCATTATCAACTACTTTCATAAATGACTAGCTCTGAAGCATCCTCTTGTCAATTTACTAGGAGATGAGTGCTGAAAGGAGGAATAAGAAGGCAGAGGATGAGGGAATCCATATGTTTTCCATTGCAGAGAAGTGAAGAAGTGTTTTATCTCCCATGTCTCAGAAGGTAGGCTAATATATAATTCAAAATAAGGAGGTGGCCAATCAGATAATGTTTTACAACTAAAAGTTGAAGTCAAACAAATTCCAGGAGCCAACTTATACTTTACCCCAATACTTAGAATACCGGAAGCATCCCAAGGACAACAACTATTTCTTTTATTTTTCACATTTTCCATAGTCTACTATAGTTACTTTAGGGGCTCACTTTCTGAATTGCTTGACCAGACAGGCATAAATCATGAGTAAAGGCTCGATCAGAGTTGGAGAGCACACAACTTTTCACGCTTCTGTCTTTAAAAATCTGGGGCTTTTTCTCTATTTCTTTTTTCCTCCATGTTCCCTATGCTCTGGTCATTCGAGTATGTTTTACAGAATCAAAATGGCTTATCTCAGTTGTATCCAGATATTTCCGATCCCTTATTCTGAATTATTGTCAGACATCTACTGACAAGCTCAGGAGTTCTGAAACTAAAAGGAAAATGATAAAGTATAATGTACCGTAGAAATATACAGTATTAATATTTTAAAATATTTATTATATGCTACCAAATACAATGAGCTCTCAAAAAGCACCCTCTGTACCATAGATTTATATTTAATTACAGGTGGCAAGAATTTTTTAATCTTTGGAATAATTTCCAGACTCAAATCAGTTTTAAATTCTTTTATATTATGTCTAACCAGCATTAAAAATATGCTAAATCTTTATCCCATGCTCCTTATTACTTCTTTTCACATGAGTTAATATATAAATAAAAGTTTATTTTAAAATACTCATCAAGCTCATTCATATTAAAGATAATCCCTATGAAATGCAGAGATGATTCAGTCTTAAAATTCTGAGGTTATACTTTTTGCCATATTCCCAAATACTAAGTGTTAGACAACTTCAACGTATAATTGATAGGTTGTCATTTTAAACTGAAATTTATAGCTGGAAAAATCCACTCTTTATATGGTGAATTATAACAAAACACAAGTATATGCTAAACCAATTAGTGCTAATTACCCTCCTTAGCCGGTTCTTTAATCTGTGACCTTCTCTATCTTACTTGAGATCGTCTCTTTCTGCTATATAAATGTCATGGTTTCCAACTGCCTTCCCTGCCTCCATTCTTATTCTTGCTACACATAGTTAAGTTAATCTTTCTAAAGTGCAAAACTGGGAGTAGGACAGAATAACACAAAGTAAGAGACTTGGAGCATGACTATTTCGTGTTTGAAATCTCAGGTTCTACCACTTGTTAGTGGTGTGACCTTGTACAAATGTCTTATCTTGCTATAGTCTGGCTTCCTCCTCTGTAAACTGTGGACAATGTTATCTACCTCAATGGGTCACTATGAGGACTAAATAGGATAGAGTAAAAAAAAGGCTCTTCATGTAGGCACCCAGAAACATTAGCTCCCTTGCCCTTTTGTAAGTTTGAACCATCAATCTTTCAAAAAGGTTACCACATCCTAGGGGAAAAATGACTTAAGGAGAGAATCAGAAAAACAATGCAATGGCTGGTACTGAGAATACTTGCTTTCTAGTACAGAAGTTTATTTGGGAAACTAGACTATGAGAAAGTAGTTTCACAAGCATGCGGAAATCCAGAGCTAGGCAGATAGTTCTCTGCCAAGAAGTGCTTGGACAAGGCTTACTCCCGCTACGAAACTGCAAGGACTCACTGTCCCAACTTTTATCCTACAATTCAGTTTTTTATAGTGCCCCTAACTAACCTTTTATTTACTCTAATTATGAGTAAATGACTTGTATTTGAGAAAAAGCATCCAAGGCAGCAGTTTCTAAATATCTTGAAGAAACGGTGGGTGCAGGGGGTGGGAATAGAAGAAAGTCTCTGACAAGAGGGAAGAGGTGATACTGACAACTGTATACTCCACTCCAGCAGGAAATTCTGAAAAATGGAATAAAGATGCATACAGTAACAGAGATCCACCAAGTAAGAGTTTTTGACCCAATGGGAATCATAATCAATGTTTGGGAGATTGTGGCTCAAGACTCTTCCAATACACCATAGATAAACCACACTCAAAGAATGCCATGAATGGCTTCAGAGAGAAAAAAACCTTCCTGCTTAGATTTATTTTAATACTTATTAATATCTATGATCATGTTTCCCCTATCCCTTCAAACGATGGCCAAAACCTAACAAGAATCCCGGTACAGATCACAGAGAGAACATAACGGGTATCAATGTTTGCTGCTCCTGGCTGCTAAAATTCTAAAAGTGTGCACCTCTAAAACAGAGAATGCTTGTTGGAGTCATAGGATATGGTGACTAAATGAATAGAAATGTGAAACTAAAATCTCATGATTCTGCATGTTGTGACTGGAAAACATCCAGAAGGAAATTCTAAATAAAGATTTAAGATGGACACTGATAATATGCAAAACTGAATATTGAAGAACCAGTGAATATCTAGAGGCAACACCTGGCTGACAGCAGATACTAAGGAACCAGAATATATGGAGTCAGAGCCAAAGAAACAGACCATGGGGCAGTCCCTGTACACACGACAGCAGAGGCCATCAACTGGAGGATTAGGGAGGTGGGTCAATCCCGTGA